AAAAAAAAAAAAAAAAAAAAAAAAAAAAAAAAAAAAAACACATCATAGTAAAATTAATACCTTCTCCGCTTCGCATCGAAGCTAAAATATTAGTAATCAATTGAAATTTTGTGAATATTTTATTAATTGAAAAATAATGTTTTCATAAAAGAATGGAGTATACACTCCAAGTATTTAAGTAAATTTTAATAGGTCACTTGAAAAATTAAAATTGACACTCATAAAGGGTATGAGGGCATAACATAAAAGATAATACACGATTGAGAAAACTATGGAAATAAAACCCAGAACAGGGGGGTCACAGTACAGTGCTGACATAAATAGTTGGGTCAAGTATAATAAAATCTGACAGTAATTAAAATCACTATCATAAAAAACGCTTCGATGCAAATCTGTAGATAGTGTTTAATTTTAAAATAATGGTGGATTATTCCAAAAGCTACATGATCTGCTATTTCCTTATTTATATTCTCATTAAGATATAGTATGTCGAATGAAAGAGGTTTATAAATAGTATTTATCATAAAAAATTGTATTGATCCATATATTTTACAAAAACTTATTGTTCAAAAGTTATGTGTGTAGCCGGTAAAGTTACACATAGCTCGAGTTGGCATTACCCCTCTCAATGTAATGACAACAATCGTGTCCGGCACTACCGGCACCTTGCGAGCACTACGTCGGTGTACGCGATTGAAGTCGTACCGCATCTCTGGAGTCTGATGACTCGTGGCCAGTGAGCTGGCGTGTTTTTTAATCTGTTTCATTGTTTTTTTGGTTGGTATTGGCCTGTTTAGGTGACAACCAACACTTTATATTACCAGTTACGTGCTATTACTCGAGTGCTCAACGGAAATAGAGCAGCGGAGGTTGCACATTCCTAACGCAAAAGGAAGAATTACTTTGGGAAGCGTTTTGGCAGTCGATTCAACGTTAATTGCACTATGGATGGCTGATGGCTGGGTGATGTTTCGTTTTGTTTGTTTTTTTTTCTACTATTATTATTCTAATGTTAATATATTGATATATTGAATATTTATTAGTTTATATATATATATATATATATATATGTATAATAAAGTTACTGTTTGGTATTGATATTATACGATTGTCAAGTAAAACTCCCCTATCCGTCATTTATGTTAAGATAATTAACTTAACGTTAAAAGTATAAAGTAGTGAAATAATTTACTCTGGGAATTGTAAAGTTTCATTTCAATATATTTTTACACTTATAGCATTATAAAATTAAAAACAAAACAGAATTTTTTTACAAAAATCTTATTTTTTTATTAACTTTGATGTTAGTTTTCACCATGAAAACTAACTAAAGTCTGAAAATTTTCTTTTTCATATTTAGGTATATTACATAAGCTTTAATTTTATACGTATATAAAAATCTCAGTATTTCCAGAACACATTCAAAAATAAAGTTGAAAAAGTTCTACTTTCTATATGCATTTTTAAGTTTTAAACCCCCTTGTATTATAGGAAATGGTCCGATTTAAAAAAAGGATGTCGAAATGAAATGGTATATAAATATTATTTCACATAAAAAAATTGTAATGATCCATACACTTTTCAATAAGTTATAGCATTATAAAGTTAATAATGTAAAATACAAAATCGAGAATTTTCACACAAAAATAGCATTTGGTAACTTTTTTCACCATGAAGACTAAATAAAGTTCGACAATTTTTTTTTAATAATTATGCATATTACATATGCTTTAATTTAAGATATTTATTAAAATGTCAGTTTCCGGAAAACTTTCAAAAGTTAATTTTTTGTGAAAAAAGTGTCATTTTGAATCCCTCCATGTGTGCGGGTAAAGGGTCAAATTTATAAAAATAAATATATCAAATGATTGGTAAATTCCTCATGTATCTATATAAAAAAAATATTACATCGATTTTGTCATTTTTAAAAAGTTATGGCAATTTTAATTTAAAAAATTTTTGAAAATAAGCGATTTTTTTGGAGATTCCCATTTACTGGGAACGAATGAAATTTTTCAATTTTTGAGGATAATGTCTTCGATTAGATACGATTTGTGATTTTTTGACGAATTGTTGAAAGAAATCAGTTCGGCAAGAGATGAGAAAAAGTGATAACAGACAAAAAAAAAAAATGAAAAAAATAAACATATCATTGTAAAATTAATACCTTCTCAGCTTTGCATCGAAACTAAAATATTATAATTTGGGTAAGAGTTAAACATTAAACTTCTATCTAACTCATAAAATATTTAATATAAGTTAAAAAGTGCTAACAGACACAAAAAAACACATCATAGTAAAATAATACTTTCTCAGCTTTGCATCGAAGTTAGAAGAAACCAAAATAAAAATTATTAACATAACTTTTATTGATTTACTTGTTTAATTGAGTAGTTTATGATAAAATAATGACACTCTACACTAAATATTAAATGGGTATATATCATACATCCTCTAAAATACTTCTGATGTTAACTAATAACTGTTTATATTCTATTTAATTTAAAAATTATAAGTTAAACAGTATAAATATTTAACATTATTTCCTATCTTAAACATATTAAAGATATTTTTTACATTTATTTAAATATTTCAAGTTAAATTATGATTTTTCTTCAAAAAAAAATAGTTGAAACATATTTTTATAAATAACACCAGCAATTAATAAAATTTTCTTTTTTTTTTTTCATAAAAATAAATTATATTGAAAAAGAAGGCATAAAAAAATATAAGATAACTAAATTAATTAAAAATTTTAATGCAATTTAAAATCAGTCATCTTGTGATAAGAATTTCAGAAGATATTTTCTATTAAGTTTCTTATAAAATTTAACATTTATGTTAAAAATATGTATTTAAAATATAATAGTTATAAAACTTATCTTTCAAAAATTCTGAAATATTAAAAATTAATATAATGCAACAGTGTTAAAATTAACAATTTAAAATCTTTATTATTATCAAAAAATTAAATTAAGCTTTAATACTTATATATCATACAAGTATACCAATATTCAAGATTTCTTTATATTTATAAGCATTAGAAAAAAAATTGACTTTGTAATTGTTATATACATTTTTAATAGTTGGAAAAGTCAGGTTTTAATTCTTGATACATAAAATGGATAGTATCAATACAATTATCAGTATCAATTCATTATTTTATGATGATAAAATTCAGGAAAAAAAATTACATAGTTAAAAAAACTTTATTAAAATTTTTTTTAGTTATTATAAACTATGCCATCATTTGTTTGGTAGTAACTAATAGATTACTACATAACTACATATGTATGCAATGCAATTTTCTTTTAAATTTGTTGTAAATTACACATCACATTTTTCATAAAATAACATGTATGCAATTGATCGTTGAACATCTTGTAATGTAACCTCTTGTATATGATCATCAGATGTATAAAACCATCTAAAAATATCATAATTTAATTATTGACTATTATATAAATCATTATTTTAGATTAGAAAAAGAAGCATCTAAAAACTTCTAGGATACAACAAAAGAAAAAAGAAATTGACATAACCAATTATTAAATTATTCATATAATACTTTATTATGAAGTCCCAAACAATGTTTCAATTAGTTAATATCAATAAAAATAATTTAATAAAATTAATTGATGAATAAAAAAAAGCATGCAAAATAATAAAATACCTTGTATCACTGCACCTGTGTCTAGAATGTTTAGTTGAAACGCCTCTTCTATATGTACTGAAATGACCAGCATTATCTTCACCAGCATGAACTATGACAGCCTTAAGTCTATAAATATATTTATCTCCTCTAAATCTAAAAATAATATACACAACTGTCATAATAGAACACTTTAAGAAATGGAAAAAAAATATATTTTTATATTTAATGGATCCAAAATTAAAATTATTCCCTCTTCAATTAATTAAAAATATTTACTAGCCATTTTATTGCACTCTTACCATAATAATTTTAACATTTTGTATATTTAATTATATTGTTAAGTATTTCTATACAAAATAGAACTGTAAGAAATTCTTCCCTTGTTAGGTGGGATTAAAATAGACCACTGGTTGTCTTTGCCTGTCATAAGAGGAGACAAATAGGACTTGTAGGAGGGCAACAGCTCTTACAATATGGAGTATAGATACCTAAATCTATACTAAAGAGATAACTTCTTTAGAGGTAGAAACAACTACAGATCAAACAATAACCAGCAGATATGGCAGCCATATAACTGAAGGTTACACTGAGATGGGGAAGGCAAAAAGCAAACCATCGCATCAACATTCCTTCGTAATAGCAATGAACATGACATTCTATCAAGTAAAAGATTCTGGAGGTAAAATAGTCCCCTTTTTAGATCTCCCGGTGAGGACTACTAAAAAAGAAATGATGATCAAGGGAAGTAGACAAAATAGAAGAATAGCAATCTAAAATGTGCGAACCCTACTATAATGCGGTAAACACCCAGTTTAAATAGAAGATTTCATATATTTGGGTAGCACTATATGCTAAGATGAGAAATGCAAAAAGAAAATTATAAAGAGAATATCCCAAGCTAAGATGACATTTAATAAGAAAAAGTCTTTTTACTTCAAAAAAAGTTGACCTTAATATTAGAAAAAATCTACTAAAAACATACATCTAGAGCATCATGTTATATGAATGTGAAACATGGACAATTGCAAGAGAAAAAATGGGGAAAAAGGTATTCGAAATGTGATGCTACAAGAGGATAGAAAAGTTGGACTGATAGAATTTCTAATGAAGTTTTAGAAAAGGTATCTGAGAGGAAATTAATATGGAAGAGTATATAGAAAAAGCAAAATGAATTAGTAGGTCATACTTTGAGACATGACGGGTTGCTATTATTAATTTTAGAAGGAAGAATCAATGGAAAAAATCATAGAGGAAAACCTAGATTGCAATACATAAGTCAGATAATAGAAGATCACGGATGTAATTCATATCAAGAGTTAAAGACGAAGGCTAATGATAGAGAAACATGGAAGTTGTTGCAAACCAATCATTAGATTGAATACTGCAGAAGAAGAAGAAATTCTATTCATCAATTTGTATAATTACCTTTCAATTGATTCTGGGGACAGAGTCTCTCTTGACTGTCTGAGTTTACTTAATTGATCATAGATACTAGTATACTTATCCATTTTTAAATATTCAGGAAATTCTACAAAATCTTTACGTTTTAATAGTTTATTTTGAGTATACTGTGTTCTCACCAAATGAATACAGAAGCATAATGGTAACTAAAATACACATAAATTTTAAGTAAATAACTATTAAAAATATACTAATTTAAATTTTTTTAATATATTTAAAATATTTAACACAAAAACTAAAATAATTCTAAATATCTTATATATATATATATATATATATACATTGGAAACAATTTTACCGTCATCAACGCTTAACACATACTAATATACCCAACCCAACCAAACCATACAAGATTTTTAATATTTTTGTGGCATTTTGGTTTAGATATGATTTTTTAGTTTTTAACTAATATTTTAAATATATTGTTAAATTTAAATAATATTAGCCACAATTATCAATCTTTAATTATAATTATAAATACTTTTCCAAACTTGACACTTTTAATGAAAGATTTTCCTTGAGTTACAGCATTATTTTTATCACAGTTTACACAAGGCAGACTTTCTAGTCTCTCTATTTTAATATATTGATCAAGAAGATCTGAAATTCTAAGTATCATTTGTGGTGTTTCTGGTAAATTCAAAGATATAACATAGAATTTTTCATAATTTAATGATGACTGAAAAAAAAAAATAATTAGCTCATAAACATATAATAATAATAATAAATTATTAAAAAAAATTATTTTACATATTTAAATATTCATATATAACTTTTAAAAGAACAAAGCTTTAATTTACTTTATTAATTTTATGTAACAAAAGTCTATTTGGTTGGGTTTCGAATCATTGTATGTTTTGTTCACATCAAATTATTTAATATGTAATCAAATTTTAGCAGTGATAAATTAAGTAAATTAATATTCTATTATTTATAAGATATAACAGAAAACAAACCTTATGATTACATAATGAGCATTCTATGTTGTTGGATAAATATCCTAAAAATGGAGGAGGTTTGATATTTTGATTTTTATCTATAAGTTTTTTATCTCCACGAAACTTAAAATTTCTGTAACAAATTAATACTTTATAACGAAACTATACTGAAAATGTAGACTATAATTTTAATAATAATATGAAAAAAAATACTATTAATTAAATATAAAATTCTCACTTTTTATTTAAACTATTTTCATTTGATGTATTGGATTGTACATCTCCTGCCCCACTTGTAGATGTAAATGTCTCATTAATTTTAATACCTATACCATTTAATGTTTCTTCTTTGTTAATAACATCATTAGTAGTTTCTAAACAATCAGCTAACTATTTTACATAAAAAAAAAAAATAATTAGGTCATACTCTTTTTGTTTTTTTTAATAAAAAGCTACAGTTAATAGTACATGCAATATTTTCTTACACTACAACTTGTTTTATAAGCTTCTTCTTCTATCACAGAAAATAGATGAACAAATAATTCATGTGCATCTGCTTGAATATGGGGTTGAAATTGAAATCCTATGTTTTTAAGAATATTCACTAATTCTATTGGAGATACTACACCATCATCACTATTCTTAACACCAGTTAAAACTAAAAATTAATTTGATAATATTATGAATAATTATATTTAGCTAACTATTGTTAAAGCAGGAATTAGCAATAGACAGCCTACGAACAAATTAAGAGAAACAGGGACACATTTCAATATGGGATAAATTTGAATTGATTAAATAAAATAGTTGTGAAAATAAAGTTAACATAAAATACAGATGATTGGTCATAATGTACCCAACATTTAATATGTTTATTTTACTCTAAGTTCTTTTATAACTAGTTTTATTTAATCAAATCCATCACGCATTTAAATGTGTCCCAGTCTACCCTAAAGCTTATAGGTGGAAAATTAGTGATAATCAGTAATATTTCACTTTATGCTTCTTTTCTATAATATATTATATAAAGTAAAACTTATAATATAATAAAATTAATGACTAATACTTTTTTCTAAGTCAGTTTATTTATTTTTTATATTTATTCTTTTTGAATTCATTGGGCTTAACCTCAGGTTTAAAGAGTGTTAATATATATTATGTTCCTATTAAATTAATAAAAAAAAAATAAATAAATAATACTGATCCAAGAAAATTAAAAAAGATTAAATTAATATTATACTTAATGATAGTTTTTATACTTGAAGATTACTTAAAAACTAATATCTTAGTATTGATGACACACAAATCTTACATTTTTTGTAATTACTACAGTGAAGCGGATCCCTACATCGCAGTCACAAAAAATATATAAGATAGGTGGTATATAGTAAGACATACTTATCCTAATAAATATCAGTAATTTCATAAAATTACAAAATTATATCTATATAATGAGTAATGAACAAATAAAGGCTGTATAAAATTAGTAGGTAGTGATGCACTAGTAAAACTTTTTTTATTATGCAATATATATAAAATTTGAGATTGGCACCAATGAATCAATATAAACATGCTTAAACACTAGAAGTATTGCTTAATTCGAGAAGTTTAACAGCTCTTTTTTCTTTTTATTTTATAACAATTTCTTACTCTTTTACTATAAAAATATAAATTAATAAAATAGTATGGACATTCATAAAAATAAAAAGGAGCAGAACTATGTACAGCCAATAATTTAAATACAAACTAAATCCCTCTTTGAGCAACCAAGCTAGTTAAAAGTGAAAACTTTTAAATAATACTGTCAATTTGATTTTGAACTTCAAAGAAAGTCTTAATAAACACTTTATTATAAGCTATAGGCAAGTATTTAAGATTATTTTCTGTGTATACAAATATTAAATTAATTTTTCAATGCTAATTGTAGATACATAGTTTATTCATCAATCTAGTTGAGTTAGCTAAGATAAGTTTTACTCTAATTAAATAACTCACACTGTAAAGTTTTATTTAGTGTATATGATACTATAGACACTTTAGACTGTTGATTAAGCCACTGAATAAATGTGGGACATGAGGCAAGAGATTGTAATAATGTATTCAAGTAACACGTTGTTCCCAAATTTTTCAGTCCACAGAAGGCACCTGAAAATGAATCAAATAAATAAAAAAGAATTCTTTGTTAAATTTTTATTTAAAGTTTTTATTAGATATTCTAAATTAAATTATTAATAAAAATTAAATAAGATTTAATATGAAAAAAACTTTATACTTTTTTTTTCTTGTTATAAATTAGTATATGGTTTAAAATAATAAGAATATTTGAAGCTAGTTACTTAAACAAACAAATAAAATGAAGATTATAAATAATTCAAATTTTGAATTCAAAAAGAAGTGTGACTTAAGTTAACGATTATCTAGTGGCTGAAATGACTCAAATTATGTATGTAAAAGTATGAGTGCTCTCTATTTTTACTGTCTTCTATGTTACATCACCACTATTAAAAATACCAATATAAATTGATAAGTTTAGTGCACATTGTACAATGTTAAGGAAGATGTATTATTTAAAAAAAAAAATTAGAGGCATGAAAAATGTAAATTAAAAAAGTAAAGAGATGCCATCCCTCTGTAACCTACCCCATTTTGTTTACAGAGTAACCAATTTTAGAAAATTATCATTATAACAAGATATATAAAAAAAATATATATATAAACCAGTGATTATAAGAAAAGTAAAAGGAGAAAAAATTACGTTTCTTCGAAGATTTTGGTTTGTCAGATGGACCAAATAATACGTAAGCTAATAACGCTAAACCTGCTCCTGTAACGCCTATTAAAGCTAAATGATTTCCATATATCTTTAACATTATTAAATGATTTTATACATTATAACACGTTTTAACCAATTAGATAACATTTAATATAAATTTTATATATAACAATGATGCATAAAAATCTAAATAATGCATGTATTGAAACTTGAATAAAAATCATTTAATTTGTACAGTCGCATCATATGTAATACTTTTTAAAACACATGATTATTAATACATTTTTTTATAAGAATAAGATCTTGATCATTTTTATCAGGTTCCCAAGTAGTGATAAAATGACCTCTTTTCATTTTCAGTCTAGGTAACTAACTGTCTAAAATAAAGTCTGAATTTATCACTAATTTTGATAACATGTAAAATGTTATCTTGACGGTTACCGAACTTGCAAAATAAAGGCTCTAATAAATACTTTACATACGATTTTGGTAAAATAATAAATTTCTATGACTAAAAACTACTTTCTGAGAATTATGTTCTAATTTTTCTTTCAAAAAAAAAAAGAAAAGTTTATCGATTTTTAAAGAATAAAATCAAATTTTATATAATATGACGTATAAATTATAAAATAATTTAAAATTATTCAAATTTCCTAAACGAATTTCAAATTTATTTAAATTTATCACTAGTGTTGGTTGAATCTTTAATATAATGCACTTATTATATATATTTTTTTACAGATTAACATCTGAATTCAATTTGTAATACTCATTTAAGTTTATTTACGGAGTACTTTATTGCACAGTATGGAAATGCTGAGCAAGTAAATTTTTTGACTTGCTATGATTTTTTAAAATTTTATGTTGTAATAATATTTGTTTTTAGTAACTCTATATTACTGCACTTAAACAATTTAAGTGTCTAATATTTCATTTTTATTCTATATAAGTTCATCTATATTATTAATCACATTGATATTGTTATAAATAAATATATATTGTTATACTATTGAATACATTTTTACTTTATTTAAAAATAAATTAAAAAATTATGCTTAACATAATCAAAGAATATGTATTTTATCCTACTAATTTAATTATAAATTATAAATATCAAGTCTTTAAAAGATTAGTATCAAATCAAAAAAATACTGTTACAAAAAATAATACTTTAAAACAAGAAATACCAGTTGTCAGAGGATTACCTTTAGTTGGTACTACTTTCTCTATAATAGCTGCTGGCGGTGGTCGGAAATTACATGAGTATATAGATAAGCAACATAAAAAATATGGTCCAGTATTTAGGGAAAAATTTGTATCCGTTGATGCAATTTGGATAAGTAATCCAAATGATATGAAATTGATATTTGCACAAGAAGGAAAGTATGCTAGACATGTTTTACCAGAAGCTTGGTTGCTGTATAATGAGACATATGGCCAACAAAGGGGCCTTTACTTTATGTAAATTTTTGTGAAATTAATTGAACATTTACTTTGTGTTTTATCAAAAGAAAAATTTTTAATTTTGTAATATTAGATTGTGGAATAAATTTTAAGATTTACTTGACAGTTCTTATAAAAACTTACTTTATGATTCTTTAATTAAAGATATGCTTTGGGGTAATTAAATCAAAACATACATTTTAAGATTTTTTATTTTAGTAAGATCTTAATCATAAATATTTTTATTTAGTATTTAGTTTATGTATTTTAATTATTTGAATATTAAATAAAAAATATTTTATAGGGATGGTGAAGAATGGTGGACATACAGAAAAATACTTAATAAATTTCTGTTCTCAGAAATAAATAATAATTACATTTTTGAATCATCTAAATTAATATTAAATGAAATATTAAAGGAATGGGAAAATAATAATGATGGACTTATACAACATTTGGAAGCCGATCTGTATAAAATATCAATTTCATGTGAGTTGTAATGATTATACTTTTATCATTATATAAATTATACACATTAAAAATTTATAGTTATGGTAGCATACTTAGTAGGAAATGCTTTTAAAAGCTGCAGAAAAGAAATATTGAGTGATATAAATAATTTAGCTCACAATATACAAGAAATATTCAAAAATAGTGTGAAATTTACAGTAATTCCAGCAAAAACAGCCAAGCTATTCAAATTAAAAATTTGGAATGATTTTGTTAAATCTGTAAATGATTCAATGAAATATGGTATTATATTAGTTAAAATATATAACAATTATAACATATAATTTATATATACTGAATATCCTACAAGACTCTGATATCTCTTATAGCTTTTGATTTAATTATAATTTCATTGAATTTTTAGCTTCGATGCGAAGCTGAGAAGGTATTGGTTTTACTATGATGTGTTTTTTTTTTTGTGTCTGTTATCACTTTTACTCAGCTCTCGCCGATCCGATTTATTTCAACTAAAGTCAAAAGATCAAAAATTGTATCTAGTCGAAGACATTACCATCAAAAATTGAAAAAATTTCCCTCGTTCCCCGTAAATGGAGGAAATATCCAAAAAAATTACAAATTTAAAAATCGCTAATTTTCAAAATTTTTAAAATTTTTTTTACTTAAAACTGCTATAACTTTTTCAATAATGATTATATCGATATAATTTTTTTTTATAGATACATTATGTCTTTACCTTTAAATCTTACCCTTTACCCGTCCACAGAGTGGGAATTTAAAATGACAACTTTTTCACAAAAAATTAACTTTTTCAACTTCACTGTTGAAAGTGTTCTGGAAACTCTGACACTTTTATATATATCTTAAATTAAATATAATGTAATATGCTTTATTATTAAAAAAAAATGTTGGACTTTATTTTGTCTTCATGGAAAAAATAGTTACTAAATGCTATTTTTGTGTGAAAATTCTCAATTTTATTTTTTACATTTTTAACTTTATAATGCTATAACTTATTGAAAAGTGTATGGATCAATACAATTTTTTTATGGGAAATACTATTTTNNNNATTTTTAACTTTATAATGCTATAACTTATTGAAAAGTGTATGGATCAACACAATTTTTTTATGAAAAATAATATTTTTTAATAATCCCTTTTTCATTTGACATACTTTATCTTAATCAGGATATTAATAAGGAACTAGCAGATCATGTAACTTTTAGAATAATCCACCAATTTTTTAAAATTAAACACTATCTAAAGATTTGCATCGAAGCGTTTTATTTTGTTAGTGATTTTAATCACTGTCAGATATCATTATACTTGATCCAACTATGCCATGTCACCACTGTGCCGCACCCCCCTATGCTGGTTTTTTTTTTTATTAATTATTGCCTTTTTAATCTATGTTCAAAACATAATATTTATTTTTTTCAAAATTTCAAAAAAAATTTTATGAAATTATAATTAAATAAAAAGTTATAAAAGATGTCAGAATCTTGTGGGACACTTAGTATAATCTTTA